GGGGGGGGGGGTGAGTGGGCCTGACACCTGGCACCACCCCAGCCCAGCCCCCCAGAGCCATCCAACACAGAGGATCCCAAATCCCATAAGCTGGCCACGCGCCAGGAAGGGAAGCCGAACGGCCCGGCTTTCCTCCCAAAGCCCACTCCATCCCACGTGATTGACGAGGGAACTGAGGCCGGCACAGGAACGCCAGTGCCTGACGTAGGCCAGTCAGTGGGCCAGATGGGACCTGCAGCCACATCTGAGGCCCAGGCCCACCCCCTGGGAGCCAGGAGAAGGGTTGGGTGCTGAGGTGAGGGAGATCTCCACTGGGGGTACCTGGATGAAGCGTTTGAGCTGTGTGTTCTGTTGCAGCAGCCGGGTCTTCTCCTGCTCCAGGGAGAAGATGTACTCCGCCGTCTGCTGGAGAATGGCTGCCTGAGGGTGGGAAGAGCAGGGGTCAGGCTGGCGGCTCACTTCCTCCTCCCATTTGGAGCCTGCCACCTCCTCCAGGAAGCCCTCCCTGCTCTCGCCTACCTTGCTGAGCTTCTCACCATCTGTGTGGGGAATGAGGGTCTTGAGGGACTGGAAGCCCGCGTTGATGCTCTGCATGCGCCTCCGCTCGTTGCTGTTGGCAATCTCCCGCCGAATCCGCCGTTCCTGGTCCCGCTGAGTCTCGGGGGTCAGTGGAATGTTTGCAAGGCTGCCAGGGAGGACAGGGACAGACTCAGGCTAGGTGCCCTCTGTAGCCTGCGCCCTGGAGGCTCCTGTCTTTATCATTCAACTCCACCAAGTGGCCTGAATACCTCCCCTGCAGACTGATGGAAGGGACACCCAAGCAGACGGGATCAGCTGGCTGTGGGTAGACAGCCTGCTCAGAAACCAGCCCCTCCCTGGCTTTCTTCATGGGAAAAGGGCCCCTCTCCAGAACAGAGGTTCCCAGGGTGTCTGGGGGCCAGAAATACCTGGGAGCTTATAAACCATGCAGACCTCAGGTGCCAACCCCAGTGTCTCACTATTGGATCTGGGTGGGGTTGAAACCTTCATGGCTAATCCCTGTGATTCTGATGCAGGTGGGGCCCAGGTGACAGTCAGAGACACCTACTCCTGAGACACTTCTGAGTTCCTTACCAGGCACCTGGACCACCTCTTTCTGCTTGCTGTCCCAGGACTGAAGAAGACATCCTCCTCCCTCCCCATTCTCAGAGCCATGTCTCCGCCACAAGCCCCTACCCTCCCACCCTAGCCCCCCTAGGCTACTACTTCACAGAAGACAGACGGAAACCACTCACTCCTTGAAGGAAACACCAGGCCAGCATCCCTGACGGTTCTCCCCCAAGCCCATCCACTCCAAGAGGCAGATGAAGCAAGGCTCGGCTCCCAACATGCCGTGGGTGGCGTTAGTGGGTGAGAGAAGACACCCAGGGAAAGGGGGTGTGGCTACGGGCCAGGAGGCAGCGGCAGCAATGGAGCCAAGGCCACTGCTCCCAGGGGCTGGGCCTGTGTGTGGCCTGGAGGAGGCATGTTCCCCTCCCTGGCCCTCCCCTGCAACGCTGCTTCCCCCCCCCCCATACTGGCCTGATGGCTTCCAGATGCTGGGCTCCCAGCAGAGGCTGCCAGCCCCACCCAAAGCCACAGCCCCAGCCTCTTCCTGAGGGGCCCTCCCAGGGAGACCTGTTCCAGGCGTGAGTTGAGGGAGTGCATGCCCCTAAGTCTGGGAGAAGAGGGAAAGGTCTCTGGGCAGATCTTGTTCCATTGATGGGGGAGTCTGGGTCAAGGAGGCTTCAGGTCTGACTTCCTTGCTGTGTCCTGGCCCTTCCACTATCCCCAGGCGGGAAGGAGTTGGCATGGACCGGAGGGGGCACATCTGCCTCAGCTGGAAACAGCTGATGGCTTTCCCGCTCTCCCCCCAGTCTGCCCAGTTGTCCCGCCTCAGCTCCCTGTGAGATCCTAGACATATCACTGCCCCTTCCTGGGCCTCGGCTTCCTCTCCCAATAGCCAACTGAGAGTCAGGAGGCAAATCCACCTTCTCCCTGCTTCACCAAGTCAAGCCCCCATCAGGACCCAAAGTCTCCTCCCCAGTCCCTTACAGGGCTGGAAAAGGGCTCAGGCCCCCCACTTTACAAGGAGACTTAGGGCTCAGAGCAAGGAGGCCTTAAGGATCAGACAGCTAGATGCCAGCCCCCTCACTTTGGGGCCAGGGTACCTCACTTCTCCCAGGTTCCCTGCCCCTAGAATGGGAGTGACGGGGTGGCTGCAGGATCCCTGATGCACAGCTGTGGGCTGCCTCTGGAGGGGAGTCATGCTCCCAGGCCTGACACTGCCCTCAGTCCATGCCACCTCGGAGAGGCCAGCAGGCAAGGGGACAGGGATTGCTCTGTTGTGGGTGGGTTAAAGCCAGGGGTCTTTGGAGACGAGAGGTGTCCACAGGAAGCCACGACGCAGGGCTGCTTCCATCTGTCTGGGGGCATCTCCATCCCCCTCAGAAGAGATGTGTGGAGAGACCTCCCGCTACCCCAGCCCCTGGGTCGCTCCTGGTGATGCCCAAAGGCCACTTGGAGCGCCCAATGACACAGAAATCACATTTGTTTGTTTGTTTTTTGAGTCAGAGTCTCACTCTGTCACCCAGGCTGGAGTGCAGTGGCACACTCACGGCCACTGCAGCCTCGACCTGCTGGACTCAGATGATCCTTCAGCCTCAGCCTTCCAAGTAGCTGGAACTACAGGTGCATGCCACCAGGATTGCCCGAGTCCCTAATTTTTTTACTTATTGTAGAGTCTAGGTCCTGCCAAGTTGCCCAGGTTGGTCTCGAACCCCTGGGCTCAGGCAATCTTCTCGCCTCGGCCTCCCAAAGTGCTGGGATTACAGGTTTGAGCCACTGCACCCAGCTTGAGAAATCAGTTTTTAAAAAGTGTTGAATTCAGCCAGGCACAGTGGCTCACACCTATAATCTCAGCACTTTGGGAGGCAGAGGTGAGAGGATTGCCAGAGCCCACAGGTTTGAGACCTGCCTGGGCAACATGGCAAGACCTCATCTCTATAACAAATCAAAAAAGTAGTTGGGCATGGTGAGTCAGGTGGCCTGATGAGTTCCATGAAAGAGGACAACACACTTTAAAAAAAAAAAAAAAGAAAATTAGCCCAGCATGGTGGCATGTGCCTGTAGTCTCAGCTACCCTGGAGGCTGAGGCAAAAGACTGCCTGAGTCCAGCAGGTAGAAGTTGCAGTGGCCATGACTGCACCACTGCACTCCAGCAAAGGTGACAGAGTGAGACTCCAGCTCCAAAAAAAAGGACAATACAGAGGCTCAAGAAGGGACCAGTTACAGCAAATGGTGGGACTTGAACCCTGACCCCAGAGCAGTTGTGGGGCCACAGGGCAAAATGGACTGTCCCAGAGAGCAGAATGTCTCAACAAGCAGGTGACAATTATCCCTGTAGAAGACAGGACCCAGCACTCTGGGAGATGCTCCCAGACAGATGGAAGCAGCCCTGTGACATGGCTTCCTGTGGACACCTCTCATCTCCAAAGACCCCTGGCTGGTGACACAGAGTCACCGTGTTACTCTTTTTGCTATTCGTAGACTCCTTTTACATCTTTCCTCTCTGATTTTCATGGAAGCCCAGAGCACCTCCTGTTGCAATGAGCAATGCAAGGTCCTGGGGAGGGGAAGGGACATGCCCAAGGTCAGGCAGCCAAACCAGGGTGCAGGCACCTGTGCAGCCAAAGCAGCCCACCCACGGGAGCACTCTCTATTGATGCTCACTCTCACAGCCTGCTGTTACCAGAGGGGGTTTGGCTGAAAGGACAGCAGGCGCCCCTGCCCCTACAAAGGGAGGGGGACCAGGCCCACTGTGAGGTGACATGCCCAAGGTCACACCCAGGTAGGGTGCAGCCGAATGCACCCCTCTCACTGCCCAACCCAAGTCCCATTCATTCCTTTGCCCTGGGAAGCAGATTCTCAGCCTGGCCCTTCCCCACAAAATGCCCCCTAGCCAAAAGAGACCTCAGGACCCCAGTCCAGAAAGTCCCATCCCGGAAGTTCCCAGAGGAAGAGACCCTGGGGCCCAGGCAGGGATCGAGGGCTAGTTAGGTGAGTTATAACTGAAGGTCTTGGTGGCAGGGATCAATGTCGCAGCCAGCTGCTGGTTAACCTAGTGCTTAACCTAGATGTAAATCCAAGAAAAAAGACTTCCAGCCGGGCTGGGTGGCTCAATCCCGCGCTTTAGGAGGCTGAGGTGAGTGGACTGCCTGAGCCCGCGGGTTCGAGACCCACCTGGACAACTTGGCAAGACCTCATCTCTACAATAAATCAAAAAATTAGCCGGGTGTGGTAGCGCGCGCCTGTAGTTCCAGCTGTTTGGAAGGTTGAGGTGGAAGGATCACCAGAGCCCAGCAGGTTGAGGCTGCAATGGCCAGCAGCATGCCACTGCACTCCAGTCTGGGCAACAGAGTGAGACTCCAACTCAAAAAAAAAAAAAGACTTTCCCCAAAGCTATAGTTCCTTATGGGGTCCTGGACTTGCCACCAAGACCTTCAATTATAACTCACCTAAATAGCCCTGGAGGTACTAGCAACAGAATCCTTTAATAGAATGCATGCTAACCAGGGTTTCTGATTGGTGGAACAGGAGCTAATCAGGGGTTGTGACTGGGGCAGTGCTAGTTAACCAGGGATTCTTATTTGTGGAATGCTGACCAACCACAGATTCTGACTGCTGACCATCCTGTTGAAGAAGGATGGTTAACTGGAATTTCCAGGTGATACTGCAGATTTTTCTGCAAATGCCTGAATGTTCCTTATAGCTCTGGGTTGCTAATGGCTCTGGGCTTTTCAGAAGCAAACTCAATTTACAGAAAGTAGCCACACAGGTAGTCCCTTTACCCACCTCCCTGGCCACTTGAGACTTCCCCAGGTGAAGTAAAGGTGGCCCAAGTTCCCTGAAACAGCGGGTTTCTTGCCTGTAGCCTCCAGGGACTGCCCTGTGTCAGCCAGTCTCCTGGGAATGGCCAGAAGCTGCCCCAGCCTTGAGAATAAGGCAGGAGCCAGGTGTGGTGGCACATGCCTGTGATTCCAGCTACTTGGAAGGCTGAGGTGGAATGATCACTTGAACCCAGCAGGTCGAGGCTGAGGTAGCCATGAGCATGCCACTGCACTCCAGTCTGGGTGACAGAGTGAGACTCCAACTCAAAAAAAAAAAAGAATAAGGCAGGATGCTGGGCAGCCAATGACCAAGGAACAAAATGTGGGCACCAGGTTTGGGTACCCACAAGACCAGAGCTGCCACCCCTACTATCACAGCACCCATAGAATCTGCTGGGAATAATGCTGGCATCCCAGTCACTCAAGTCGAGATGCCTGCCCAGGACCTATTGCTTCCGCCTAGCCCAAGGTTAAGCATCTCTGGCTTCTCTACACCCCCCTGCAGCCGCATACACTTCACGCCGCCCTGGAGTCACTCACACACCTCAGAGTCACTTAGCATCTACAGTCAAAGGTGGGAAAGTCTACAGGGGATTCTCCCATACACAAAAAGGGAGGAAGGAGGACAGCCCTGCCACAAGGATGCCCAAGGTGCTCATCCTTCTCTCCTAATCAGTCCGAGGTTCGCCATCTATCCCTGCTGCTGCTATACTATCCATACTCCCCACTCCGACCTGGCCAGCCTGCCATCTCTCCCCTTGGTGCCAAAACACAACATGCCAAGCTGTTGCCATCAGAACATCCTCCCTCCCTTCCCCCAAAGTTCCTTTAGCCCATTAGAGGGAATCCTGTACTGGGTTCAAGTACAAAACCCAGCCTTGCCACGTACAAACTGAAACCCCAAGCCTGGCCACTTATCTCTCGAAGCTTCAGTTTCCCCATCTGCAAAATGAGGAAATACTGTTTCACTTCACAGAATCATGGTGAAGATAAAAGAGATCAAGGCTGAGCACAGTGGCTCACGCCTGTAATCCCAGCACTTCAGGAGGCCGAGGCAGGAGGATCACTTGAGGTTAGCCTGGGCAACATAGTGAGACCCTTGTCACTACAAAAAAATAAATAAATAAATAAAATTAGCCGAGTGTGGTGGTGCACGCCTGAAGTCCCAGCTACTTGGGAGGCTGAGGCAGGAGGATTGGTAGAGCCCAGGCTTCGAGGCGGCAGTGAGCCATAATCTTGTCACTGTATTCCAGCCTGAGCAACAGAGTGAGATCCTGACTCCAAAAAAAGAAAGATATCAAGAAGAGAGGATAGCCAGGCGTGGTGGCTACTTGGAAGGCTGAGGCAGAAGGATTGCCTGAGCCCAGCAGATCAAGGCTGAGGAAGCTGGGACCATGCCACTGCCCTCCAGCTTGGGTGGCAGAGTGAGACTCCAACCCCAAAAAAAGAGAGATTACAGGATGCCATTTCTACAGGGTTTACACCGAAGAGTCGGGGACAAACTATTAATCTCTTAGAAGATCTACAAGGCCCTTTAGGACCATGAGACCGTAAGCTGTTGAGGGCATGAGTCAGAACCTGCTCATGGCTGTATCCTCAGTCCTAAGAGAAAGCTGATGCTTCACAAATAGATTAGAGACCCAAAAAACATTCCAAAGCACTTAATTTTCTCTAACTCCTTCTTATGGGAGTTAGTATCTTTCAGTAGTATATTTTTTTAAGATAAGGATACAAGGATTGAGACTACCATGTACCTGCCTTTAAAAGTCTGAGTGTGAGGCCAGGCTTGGTGGCTCAGCCTGTAATCCCAGCACTTTGGGAGGCCAAGGCGAGTGGATTGCCTGAGACCGCAGGCTCGAGACCAGCCCGGGCAACCTGGCGAGGCCACATCTCTACAATAAATTTTTAAAAATAGCCGGGCATGGTAGTGCACATCTGTAGTTCTAGCTACTCGGAAGGCTGAGGTGGAAGGATCGCTGGAGCCCAGAAGATCAACACTGGGGTGGCCGTGAGCATGTGTGCTACTGCACTCCAGCCTGGGCAACGGAGTGAGACTCCAACTCAAAAGAGTCTGAGTGTGACTGGGCAAGGTGGCTCATGTCTATAATCCCAACACTTTGGGAGGCTAAGGTGAGAGAACTGCCTTAGCCCACGAGTTCTAGACCAGCCCAGGCAACTTGGTGAGACCTCATCTCTACAATAAATTTAAAAATTAGCCAGGTGTGGTGGCGGGCACCTGTAGTCCCAGCTTCTTGGAAGGCTGCAGGGGAAGGATCACTGGAGCCCAGCAGGTCAAGGCTGTGGTGGCCATGAGCATGCCACTGCACTCCAGCATAGACGACAGAGTGAGACTCCGACTTAAAAAACAAAACAAAACAAAAAAGAGTCTGAGTGTAATTTTAACAGCACTTTTCATACCCATAGCTAATCTTCACAGGTGCTGTTTTCCAGAGACCAAGAACCCTTAGGTCACACCTTGTGCGGGTGACACTGGGCTCTACAGCCCTGTCTGGTAGGCCTGGGTGACAGAGAGGAGCCAAGTCCACCAGCCTGATACGACCCACAGAAAGGAGTCCCTCCGGCCAGAAGGTCCTGCCTGACCCTCACATTCCATCCTGGACAGGTCTCCTCCCTCACCCTGTGGCCCCTGCTGAAAATGAACAAACCCAAGGGCCCCTTCAAGCACTTGGTCCGCCAAGATTCAACCACTCTGGGGAACTGCTGGCCTTCTCCAAAGAGGGAATTGTGGCCGGAACAAAGAGAAGCCAAAGACTTGGGGGGCCCTGAGAGGATTCAACCGAGGGCAAGGCATGACAGCCAGAGGGCCCGGCTGCCCCAAGCCTGCCAGGATCAGGCCCAGAACATCCTCTCCAGCATATGGGGCAGCTCAGCCACTTCCCCAATGCCCTGCCAGGCTCCGCGCAGCCAGTACTCTGAGACCAGAGTTCCAGTTCCAGTTCCACCACTGGTCCTTTCCCCCGTCTCTGTGTCCTCGTTTTTACACGGGAATCATAGGCACCTTGACTCATAGAAGGATTATGACAATTCAGTGAGAAAACTCTAGCAAAGTGAGCCCCCAGAACATATAAAGAGCTCAAGAATTGTTTGGGTTTGGGGGGGGCGGGGAGCCTCCGGGTGGGCCTTGTGGAGGGGCCGGTCCTCAGAATGGCCTCGCTAGCTGCCAGACCCATCCACTGGCCCAGCCATCCTCAGGTACTGACCGAACTTGAGAGCAGCCTTAAGAAGCAGCCCTACGGGAGGGGTCGGGGGGCGGCTGCCTCTCCCAGTACAGTAAGCTTTCCTCCAGGTCGATGTCTGCAGCCCCGGGTGTGCACCAGCCTGGGCCACACCGCACGGGCCCCTCTTCCCTCAATCCCCGCCCAGACTACCTCGGGCGGCGGAGCACGTGGCTCCAGCCCAGCCCTGGGGAGCCATTTCGCTCCTGGAGCAGCGCGGCAGGAAGAGGGCCGCAGGTCCCAAACTTGTGCTAGCCGGAGCACCCACACCTCCCCTGCACCCCCGCCCGGCAAGTCCTGTTCGACATGCAGATTTCGGGGCCCTAGCGACACCAGTTCCAGGCATGTACATCTTAACAAGTGTGCAGGGTGACTTGGCTGCGTGTGGTCCTCGAACTCATCATCCTTTGGGAATGCGTGGATTTTGAGCAACCCAGAGCCAAGCTTGTAAAGTGGCTTATGGAGAGGGCCGCGGACCTTGGGCCACCCACCTGGCGGGGAGACCCGACGCTTTCGGTGGATGGGTGTGGGGAAGGACGTTGGACGGGAAAGTTTGCAAAGGAGACCCACGGGCGGCGGAAAGCGGCCCCGCGAAGCTAGGAGTAGCCTTAGGTGCCTCTTCCCCAAAAGGCCTCCTCACCTGGCTGTGCCTTGCCCACCTTGCCCACGGGGGCCGAGCTTTGTGCTGGGAAAGCATGGCCTGGGAGCGCCTACAAGTCCCACAATGCCGCACCCGCAGGGCGCCAAGAACTACAGCTCCCGCGAGGCGTCGCGCGCAGAGATCCGCCTACTCCAAGAGGGCTGCAGAGTCACGTCCAGGCCTCGCTAGTAAACAGCGCCCGGGCGCAGGCAGGCGGGCTGGCGGGCTGGCGGGCTGG